GTCTCTCGCACAGCGAGAGTCACATAACGGGATTTCATGTCAAAAATGACGTGTACATTTATTTGCAAAAACAGGCAACTCCACCCTCTGGCTTCAATTGGGAGCCATCAAACACCTTTCCTAAATGGCCGAAAATTTAAGTCTACTAGTCGGGACGTTAGCACTCTCATGACGCAAATAGTAGGATATTTCGGGTAATATAGGACGTAGTCGTTTCGTTTTGGAAGCTATGAAAGATGTCTTGAAACAAAACGAACAGGTAGTCTGCGCTGAAAAGACACTAAGAGTCCCACTTTAGTACTGGTGCAATTATGTAATTTCTTTATTTATTTCCTCACACCCTCCAAAGGTAAATTATTTTGAGGGATTAATGGGCCAATATTTGGCCATAGGCCTTCCTCTCATCCGTTAGTTATACTGGGAGTAAGATTCAATTTGTTTGAAACTGATATAACCCCAAAGCATCCCCTTCGAGTAAGTGAATTAGATAAGGGCCTCTCGTTTGGTTTGCATATGCACCGGTTGGCAAAGATGCGCGGATAGATATTTGCTCCGAATAACCGCCGAAGATGTTAGAATTCGGCAAACTTGTCTTCCGGTTCATTGCAGCGCGTCCCAGTACACCGATATGGTGCCCTCACACAACAGCGCTTGTGGTTGAGTGGGTAATTGCTGTCGAAGTTGAGGACTTGTGTCGTATTTGTTGCTTGCATGAACACTTTGGTCTTGAGGCTACCACAATCTTTGTGGCAGACCAGGACGTCAAGGACGGCCAGCTAGTTGTTTTCTTCCTCCTTCGTCGTAACTTGTATGCCCGGGAAGATGGTATTGACACGTTCTTTTAACGTAAGCACCTGATCCCCTTCGATGACGAATAAATACCAAACGCAGAATTTCGGTTTGTGGTGTTGGTAAACCAGGGACACTAACCATTCTAGGGCCGCCTTGAATAGGATTTCCCAAATTACTGAGCCCATTAGTTTACCCTTCGAGGGCTTTGTCTTCCGGGTCACTGCAGTGCGTCCCAACACGTATGGCAAGAGGGTGGCTGTTGTGGTCGTATTGATGTTGGTGTTGGTGGTGAGAAGGATAGCAATGCCCTTAGTACGTCAGAGGTGTCAAGATAATTAATCTTTTTGTTCTAAATGTTCTTCCAGTAAGCATTTATCGTGAGATCAGCCAGCGGCAAAAGTCCCCAGCCCAAATTTCTTGCTGAGTTCTTGGTTAAAGGCGAACGAAGTGGTTGCGCACACTACGAGCAGTATAGGTGCGTAATAGGCACAGAATAAGAAGGAAATTGAAACCGTTTTAACTGTTTTTCTTAACTAAAAATGTGGGTGAAAAGATTGCATAAAGGACAAAAAAGCCTGAAAAGGAAATCGATCAAAACATAATCGAAGAAGGGTTTAATAGACGTAAATTAAACCTACTGAAAATGTGTAAGTAGTTGTTTTATATTTATAATACCTAAGTGGCCCTGCGACAAATCCCAACCGTATTCCTTTGTCTACCTTTCCTCACTATGCGTCCTACGTCAAAGTACTGGAAATGGGCAAGCAGCGTTCATTAACGTTACGAACACCTACTGTGTGTGAGAGTAATTGTTGTCTTTAACTATAGGGTATCACC